CTTTATTTTATTTTTTTATGTGGTGCTGAGGATCAAACCTAGCGCCCCACGCATTCCAGGAGAACCCSCTATCGCTTGAGCCACACTCCCAGCCCCAGGTTGTTTTTTAAGGAGGCTTTTTCTTTTAAAGACATGCACTTAAATATTTACTGACAAAATTATAAAACAATTTTGTATGTTTTAAAATAATCCCAGGATAGGGGAGAGGGAGTATCCTTCAAATAAGACTGGAGATGTTGGGGCTGGGGTTGTGGTTCAGAGGTAGAGCGCTCGCCTAGCACGTAGGAGGCCCTGGGTTCGATCCTCAGCACCGCATAAAAATAAATAAAATAAAGGTACTGTGTGCATCTACAACTAAAAAAAWTTWWAAAAAAAAAGACTGGAGATGTTTAGAACTGCTAAAATTGGATAGCAGACACAATGCTTCATTATACTAATCTCTACTTYTTTAATGTTTAAAATTTCCATAAGAAGGTAAAATTTATGCATAGAATGCTCATAGCCATGAATTTAATCCTMAGCACCACAAAAAGGAAACAAAATACTGCTCCTTAGCCCATATTTCTAATGAGGTGCTCAGTTTTCTTATTGATTTTTACAGTTCTACAGCTCTTTGTAAATTAAGATGCTCAATGTATACACTGCACATAGTTTTCCAGCTTGTCATTTGTCTTTTTGTTCATGCTATTCTTTACTATAGACATTTAAAATKTTGCAGGCTGTCATCTGTACCTGTTATCAAGCCAGTTACAGTGACACACACTATTAATTCCAGGTTCTCAAGAGGCAGAGGCAAGAGGATCAAAAGTTTGAGGCCAACCTGGACAACTTAGTGAGATCCTGCCTCAAAATAAAAATTTTAAAAAAAGGGTTGGGGATGTAGCTCAGAGTCAGAGCTACAAGTACCCCCCAAATACCTCCCCCACACACACACCAAAAGGAATAAAACTTATCAAATCTTTTACTTTATGAGTTTTTGTTTGGTGTAAAGCTTAGAGGACTTTCCCCATATTAGAATTATATTAACATTTACCTACATTTCCATAGATGTATTTTATTTTAAAGGAGCCCTATGTACATACTTTCCACAAAGCAACATGGATAAAACTTAAGGACATCATGCTAAGTGAAACAAGCCAGTCACAAATGGACAGACACTGTGGTTCCAATTATACAGAGAACCAAGAGTTGTCAGATTCATAAAGTAAAAAAAATAGAAGGGTGTTTGCCAGAGAATGTAGGAGAATGGAAAGTTATTATTTAATGGTACAGGATTTCAGTTTGAGAAAATGAAAAATTTTAGATATGCATGGTGGTAATGCTTACTTGCATAAGAAAAAACATATTTAATGCCATTAAAAGTGATTAAAATCAGGTCTGGGGCTGTAGCTCAGTGGCAGAGCGCTTGCCTGGCATGTGTGAGGCACTGGGTTAGAGCCTCAGCACCACATCAAAAAAATACATTAAATAAAGGCATGGGGCTAGGGTTATGGCTCAGAGGTAGAACGCTTGCCTCACACATGGAAGGCCCTGGGTTCAATCCTCAACACCATATAAATTTTTATTTATTATTTATTTATATAAATAATAAATAAATAAAATTAAGTTATTGTGTACAACTACAAAAAAATAAATATTTTAAAAAAAATTTTTTAATACAAAGGCATGCTGGGGCTGGGGTGATAGCTCAGCAGTAGAGTGCTTGCCTAGCACATGTGAGGCCCTGGTTTGATCTTCAGCACTACATACAAATGAATAAATAGAATAAATGTATTAAAAAAATTCCTTCCTTTAAAAAAATAAAAATGAATAAACAATAAAAATATAAAGGCATACCTGTCCATCTATAATTATAAAAAAATTTTTTTTAGGGCTGGGGGTGTGGCTCAGAGGTAGAGCACTCGCCTAAGCATGTGGAAGGCCCTGGGTTCAATCCTCAACACCAAATAAAAATAATTAAATAAAGATATGTGTCCACTAAAAAAATAAATACATTTTTTTTAATTTTTAAATGGTTAAAATGGTAACTTTTATGTCATGTATATTTGACCATGTACAAAATCTAGCATGTTAGGGCTGGGTTGTGGCTCGGTGGTGGTGTACTTGCCCAGCATGCATGAAGCACTGGCTTCAATTCTCAGCACCACCTAAAAAATATAAAATAAAATATTGTGTCCACCTAAAACTGAAAAATAAATATTTTTTTAAAAAAAGAAAATCTAGTATGTTAAAATTTATTAACCAGATTAACAATGTCCCAGACAAATTTGACTTCTTAATTACATATTTCTTGCAGTATCATTACAGGCAAACATACAATACAATTTCTCCAAGGCTTTTAGTAATACTGAATCCTCAGCAGGAACCAATGTAATAACTAAATCACAGCATTTCATACCAGAGGTTTCACTCAATTTTCAACTGCATTTTACAGAGCACATGCACAGCTGGGCCACTCAATCTGTCCTCACTCTTTCTTCCTCCATAGAAGAGAACAAGAGAGAGACTTCAAATAATGCTGTAAATGCTTTGGAACACTAAGGCACTGATTGCCTCCTAGCTTATCCATGCACACAGGAACCACTCAATAAACCTTCCCAAATCCAGACATTCAGTGTAACCTGCAGCAAACCCAAAAAGAAAACATGGTCTTCATATTCTGTCCTATAAACTACCTAGAGAGGGCTGAAATTTTGCCTGCAAGAAGGCTGCTGTCTCCCCCATTCTTCTATTACTTGAGATCTTAACATTCACAATGGATGTTTCAATTTAAAACGGGTTTCATGTACCACCCATCCTTGTAAGGGTTAAAAAAAATCAATTCAATTTTAGTAGGAAAAATAAGGTGAATAGCCAAATCACTACTCTTATATCTCCATATCAAAACTAGAAAGTTCAAAGTGATGCATCCTTTCTAAATAAAGAGGACTGTATTTAAAAATATACAGTAGTAAATACATTATGTTATTTCTCAGGCACATGAGCAATCATAATCATGGTTTTTCTACTCTTCTTCCTGTCCTAAAAACTTTGATGTGTTAAAAACATTTTTCCCTATATTACTCCCTTCTAACTCAATACTACACACCTCCCCAATGTGAAAAAGAAACTGCTACTTCCACAGTCCTCTTAAACACTGTTMATGGAAATTCTCATTCTTTGTATAATAACTTTCATACAAATTACCATCTTTTAAATTGAGGGATTAAACATCAGATTTGGCTATTCAATAACACATACTATCATTTCCACACAGCAGACTATTACAAAAAAGGGGGACGGGTGTGAATTTCCCATTCTGAATGTGGCTATCACTGCACAACGCTGAGATCAACTCCAAACTCTGGACTGCAGTATGGCTAAGTGCAAGTTCCCTGTCACTTCACACCCATCCCAAACTGGAACTGCAGCAAGCCAACACKGCTGGACCTGGAGAGAACTCTCCAGGACCACAGCACCATTCTTGTAGTCTTGCCTGCAAGAGTAAATTCCAAATAGCTGAGGAATGGAGACCCCAGATACGAGAAGAAAAACAAAGAAAGGGAATTCTAGACGGATCTTTACACTCTTCAAAACCCTTAGAGACAATTTCCTCTGTGCTAAAACCTGCCTAGGGGGGGGGGGGGGGGGGGGGGGGTCCCCGTATAGAAAAACCCTGGAAACGGTTCCCTGGCCAGGGAAAATGATTATCCCCAGGGGAAGAAGTCTTACCAGACTTTCGGATCACCTGGGCGAATTAGCCGGCAGGATGAACAGGTCCCTCCCTAAGGGGCATCAAGCTCAGASAGAGGGCATCACCCTAATTTCTCTCCACAAAGCCAGATGGCCCTCATCTTCTCAACCATGAAGTGCCGTCGTGACAGGAGGAGGAGACGACTCCCTGCTAATTGCCCCAAGCGGGTCAAACTTTGCATCGGCATGATGCACTGGGTTTTGAGGCACAGGGAAGGAGGAAGGGTTGGTACTGGGAGCGGAATCTCCGCGATTTGCCAGAGGAAACAGCAGGCTCCAGACAGCAGAAGCGCCGGGATTTCCATGCAGCTGCCACGACAGGTGACCGGGCCGCTTTGCAGACACCCCGCTCGCTCCCCGGGCTTCACCGAAGGTGGGGCGGGCAGGAAGGGGAAGGAAGGAGGGAGACTGGACCGAGGACGGGAGGTGGGCAGAGCAGGGAGGGAAAGCCACTCCATCCCGACGGTGCGGCGGCCAGGGGAGCACAGCCCCGTCTCCCCGGGGAAATCATTTTAAGGGATTTTCTGTCTCCACAATTAAGAAGAAAAAAATGGCTCCAAGCCAAACGCCTCCTGATTTACACACACACACACGCACGCACGCACACCCCGAGCTCCGCTTTCGCACCATTTTCTCACGGGCTCGAACAAAAGGCTGCCCAGCAAAGCCGCAGCCACGGCCGCCCGGGGCCGGGTCAGACGCCCTCGGCGCCGCGCCCTCGGCCCGAGTGCAGACGGCCCACCCGCCCGCCCGGCCCCGCGCCCGCCCGCCCCGCCCGCCGCGCCCACCACGCCCGCCGGCGCCGGGCCCGCGGGGACACTGGCCGGGGTCCCGGGGCGCTCCGGGCCGGCGCCCCTCCCGCGGGACGGCGCGGCACCCCTGCCCGCCGCGGCCGGAGACAGCAGCCCCCGTGCCGCCTCACCTCCCGCGCCGTGGCGGCGGCCCCGCGCCTCTCCGCGCCTCTCCGCCTCCGCCTCCAGCAGCCCCGCCGCCGCCGCCGCCGCCGCGGCCTCCCCCCGCGTCTCGGCCGAAGTCTCCGCCTCCCTCGGCCGCCGCCGCCGCCGCCGCCGGCCCGGCTGCGCGCCACGTGACCGCGCCACGTGACCCGGCGCGGCGAGCGGCGCCTCCCGGGCCAGCCCGCCCGCCTGCCTGGACCCGCGCTGCTGGCCGTTGGCGCTGCCCGGGCGGTTGGCGCTGCCCTGCCGAGCGCGGGGTGGTCTCGGCCCCCGTCCCCTAACCACCCCGTCCCGCAACTCCACCGCGCTCACCTGGCGCGTGGCTGGAAACAGAGCCACTGCCAGCCGGGCCATCCGCCTCCACCCGGGAGACCCCCAGCCTCGGCAGCCTCCCGCCCGCCACTCGCGCGCGCGCACACACACGCACACTCGCGCGCGCGCACCCGACAGCGCTCTCCCCTGGACCACAGCTGTACCCGGGCTGCACGACGGCCAGACGGTGCCTAGCGTGGTCTTCGGAGCCTGGCGAACGCGAAAAACCCTCACACCCCACAACGTCAGGATCTGTGTGCTGTCCTGACTTCAGTGGGGCCGGAAGTGGACATCACGTAGTGCCTCCAATTGAGAGCCATTAGAGAGCACGGGTTTGCTCATTCTATGAGCCAGCGTGGCTTCCCATGAAAACAGTCGTTGAAATGCCTTCGATGATGATGATGATCTCACTTCGAGGATCTCTTTTTCAGTTGGTCTTACGGAGAAAGGAGTTGATAGTGTCATTTTAACTCACACAGGCAAGAACTCAGACCCTTTCCCCACATTAAAATTGATATTTTGATAGGAATGAAAACTTCAGTCATTTTTCCTTCATTTTTCATCCTTACAAAGAAAAGGCATTGCTGACTGTAGGACTGTTCTCATATGTGTAGTTTAAAAGAGAAGATCCAGCATCCTTTCTTCCTTGAATTGAGGCACAGTTAAGAATAGTAGCCACTCTGCAAGTGCTCAGCAGAGTTTTCTATTTGCCTATCTGCATAAATTCAAATCAGTTTCAGATTAAGAATTACTGCTTCTGTGAATTTGGTCAGAAAGAAGGAAGTTGGACTCAATCTGTCAAATTATAAAATTCCATACCTGCAATTTTTAAAATGTCGACAGATGCTACCTAGCTATCTTTATCTCTAAAAAGGCAATTTTAGGCCAACGTGGTGGCACAAACATGTAATCCCAGCTATTCAGAGCCTGAAGCAGGAGGATAGTAACTTGGAGACCAGTCCATCAAGGGCTTTGGGAAACCCTGTCTCAAAACAATAAAAAGGACTGAGGATGTAGCTCCGTGGTAGAGCACCTCTAGGTTCAATATCCAGTACCATAAAAAAAAAAAAAATCAGCAATTTTAAAACAATATTACTTCATATATGAGTTCATATAAACAACATATTTGATAGAAGTACTAATTCACCATTATTTCATAACAATATAAGCACCCCTAAACTAAATTTTAAAATATTTAAGAAACAAAACTACATTCAGATTTTAGAGTACCTTGAATATAAAAAGATAATTCTTAATGAGTGTCATTACTACAGTGCTTCAGTTTAATGCTCCATAAAATTCTACATCCTGTGGGGAAAACAAAATTTACAGTTTCTAAGCAGAATTACTTTAAAAATACATATATAACATTTTATAGCTTTATTTTATTTATTTTTTTATATAGGGATGAGGATCAAACCCAGTGAGTGCCTCACACATTAGGCAAGTGCTCTATCACTGAGCCATAATCCCAGCCCAAAAATACATATATAACATTTTTAAAGTACTTCTCTCTCTCTCCCTTCCCCTTTCCCTCCTTCCCACCCCCACACWGCGATCAGCAGCAATTAGAAACCTGGAGCAAATTATGAAAAATCTGAAACTGAGGATGAAAGATGAAAACACAGTTGAAGAACTTTCTTGAACCAACAAATACCATCTATATATAACAGTAAATTATTTAATACCATCAAGACATTTTTCTTCTGCAAAATAAAAACACCTTGAAACTACTCTTTTGCTAGCACCATAGTTTTCCATATATTTCCTTTTACTGTTCTGTTCCATTTCTCTCAGTAGCTGCCTTCTAGCCCTTACTTTCTTTCTACCATCTTAGAGATCTACTCCCTTCCTCTGCATTTTCAGAAGCAAAATGGTTTGCTTAAGACCTTTAATTTAGAGGCTGGGGCTGGGCCTCAGTGGTAAAGTGTTTGCCTTGCACTGGGTTCAATCCTCTGCACTACATGAAAATAAACAAAGATACTATGTGTTCATCTACAACTAAAAAAAAAAAAAAATTTTTTTTTAAAGACCTTTAGCTTCGGGGCTGGGATTGTGGCTCAGTGGTAGAGTGCTCACCTAGCTTGTGCGAGGCCCTGGGTTCAATCCTCAGCACCACATAAATAAATAAAGATATTGTGTCCAACTACAATGAATCTCTTATATATTTATTAAAAAATAAATATATAAGAGATTCATTTATAATAATTTGTTAAATCTGTTGTGAACCAGCATTTTGCACTTTAAAAAACTTTCTCAGGAAATGAAAAGAGTGGCCTCTTATTTAGAAATTTGAAGCAACCGGGAGCCATTAGGAAGAGGGAGACTTGGCAAAGGGGACCATTCCACCAGCCTTCAAAATCCCACTGGTCCAATAACCTCATTTTTTTTTTTTTTTTTAGTTCTTGACGGACACAACATCTTTGTTGGTATGTGGTGCTGAGGATCGAACCCGGGCCGCACGCATGCCAGGCGAGCGCGCTACCGCTGAGCCACATCTCCAGCCCAATAACCTCATTTTTTAATACCTTTATTTTGTTTACTTAGTTTTTTAAATATTTATTTTTTAGTTGTAGTTGGTCACAATACCTTTATTTTATTTATTTATTTTTATGTTGTGCTGAGGGTCGAACCCAGATCCTCACACGTGCTAGGTTAGCGCTCTACCACTAAGCCACAACCCCAGCCACATGTTTATTTAGTTTTTTTATGTGGTGTTGGAGATCAAACCCAGTGCCTCATGCATGCTAGGCAAGCGCTCTACCACTTAGCAATGACTCCAGTCCCAATAATTCTCATTTTGTTATGTCTAAAATACTTTTAAATATTAGAAATTTTGGCAACACCCTTGAAGAAATTAAACCTACCCACAGTAATTGCTGAATGATAATTACTACTAAAAACAATATCGTTTGTTTGGTATTACTAACCCAGTTCACTAGCTTTCTTTGGGTTCAAAATTCAAGTTTGCAAAAATTTCTTCCTTGCTGGGCATGGCACACACCTGTAATCCTAGTATCTTGGGAGGCTGTAGCAGAAGAATTATGAGTTCAAAGCCAGCCTCAGCAACTTATCAAGGCTCTAAGCAACTTTAGCAAGACCCTGTCTCTAAATAAAATATTTTAAAACGGGCTGGAAATGTGGCTCAGTGGTTAAGTGCCCTTGGTTAAATCCCCAGTACAAAAAAAAAAAAAAAAAACTTCTTCCTACTCTAATCAAGCTACCAAAAGTTCTGAGAGATATGTAACTTTCTTATCAAGTTACACTTTTCTTGATCCCTGCCTTGGGTCACACCATAGTTCATGATTCAGACTGGATCTTATGGGTATTCTACATAACAGGGTGATAATCTGGTTGTGATGGAAATGTTGGACATCCACAAAATATGGCTGAGAACCTGTGAAGGCAACTGAGAACATCATGTGGTTAAGTACCTCTGTCCTATACTAAAGTTGGGCCTGTTACAGTACAGTTACAGGGTGCCTAATTGATCTCCTTCCCTTCTGCTGTCTCCTTGTCTCCTCCCTCCCTCCCTCCCTATCATGTTATTTTGGGACATGCAGAAGCTCTTGTCACTAGCCTCTTCCCCACCTCCTTATCTCCCAACTTGTGAGAAGGCATCTCCCCTACTTCCTGTGTGTGACAATTCAAAGCCAAAAGGTTCTGCTGACTCAAGCCCTTTAGCCACTAAGACACTGGGCACAAAGATAGGGAAACTAGATCCTGAACATCAGGAGATGGCAGAGGAGCCAGAGCTTTTGGAGAATCAGATGCAAGTCTCTTGGCTTTCAGTGTGTCCTGAGAGCCAGAAATGCCAGTGCCAGCTTAGGCTTCAGGACTGGAAACTCAGCACCAGGAGGAAATGCCTGTGCCCTTTAAGCTGTGCTGAGCCATGCCACATCCAGACGGTTTCCCCCATTGCCGATGCCACCATGGCCAAATGTGGAGGGCTGTAAGTCACAGCACATCCTATGCAGTTTTATAAATAGCTGTTGAAAATAGAATGTTTGACCTGGAAAGAGACAGACTGCTCCGCTGTCTGACGGTGGTCATTGTGGGAGTGCTGTTTCTTTTTCATTATTTTTTGAGTTCCTACATTAGGCCAGGCACTGTCCAGAATAAAAAGCAGTGTGTAGGAATTTATGGGGAGAGGGTTTGGTTCAGATAAAGAAGAACTCCTAACAGGGGGGCCAACAGGGAAGGTAGCCTTGGTAGCTGGCTTTGGGTCCATGTGCCTATCATTCTCTGGAGTAGACACTTAGAGCAACTTCAAGCTCCTGCTCATCATGCTCTCTTAAAGCCTGAATATCCATTCAGCTAATAGCTTCCTCTTTGCCACCCTCCTCAGTATCTGGAGATAAAACATACTTGGACCCAAGGTCTAGGACCAAAAGCACAGCCCAGCTCACTCTGAACAGGAAAAACTGGGAAACAAGAGAAAAATGTTTTTTAAAAGAGAGAGAGAAGCACTTTTATAATTGTCTCTTTCCTCCTATCCAAGGGAAGAGAAGAGATAAGCAGATAGCCATAGTTTGCCCACAGTCTCCTGCCTCCAAATGCTGGTCCTTTAGGAGCCCTGAACACTTACCAGACCTCTGAATAGGTAAGTGTGATTGGGTAAAAATTTTTCTTTGAGCAGAGCAGTTGATGGTCTAAAAGGCACTGTTGGCTTGGTAATGCTTTTTTTTTTTTTTTTGAAAATGTGCTAAAAGCTGTCTCACATCTTGACATGCAGAGTGGTCTCTGGGGAGGAGGAAACAGATCAATAACCCCCACACCTTTCTCCATGAGGCTCAGCATCAAAGGCATGACATAAGGGCCCTGGTGAAGTCAAGTGGCAGAAGGGCTTGGAGAAGTTCCTGAGACAGCAAAAAGAGATAGACTTTATGGAGTTGTGTCAGAGGAGCCTGGCAGGGGCTATAAGGTGGTGAATGCTAGACCCAGTTTTGACACAAACCTTAAGAGGTGCTGCCTCTGAGAAGATACAGGTACCTTGCAGTTGGCAGCTGAAGGCTGTAAAGGTTGAGACTGAAGACGCAGAGGGAAGGCCAGTAACTGAGGCAGAATACAATGG